TAGTCCATATTCCATTGTTTTGTACACACACATCTTGCAGAGGTGCAAGTGTTTGTTTCTTGGAAACTGCTTCTGGTAGAATAACGGCAGGAAGCCCTGGACACTGGTTAAGGAGCTGCTGGTGATAGGGGTAGTATATCAGACATCTCTGGGAAATAAGGATGGGATGCCAGGACGGGACAAGCACCAGACTGACAGTGGCATTTCCTGAATCACCTTTAACAGATGTAGATTACATCACTGGTAAAGTAAAGGTAAAGGTTCCCTTGCTCGAAAGCCAGTCGAGTCCGACTCTAGGGTTGCGGTGCTCATCTCCGTTTCAAAGCCCAAGAGCCAGCGCTGTCTGAAGACGATTCCGTGGTCATGTGGCCAGCGTGACTAAACACCAAGGTGCACGGAAGGCTGTTACCTTTCTACCGAAGTGGTACCTATTTATCTACTTGCAATTTCTTGCTTTCGAACTGCTAGGTTGGCAGGAGCTGGAACTAGAGACGGGAGCTCACTCCGTCATGTGGCACACTCGGGTCTCGAACTGCTGAACTACTGACCTTCCACAGCCGGCAGCCCAGCGTCTTAACCACTTGAGCCACCTGCAGCTCCTAACTTCACTGGTACAAAACCACAAACATGTTAAACAATGCTATACTGATTGGGAGCAGGAGTAGGGTGGGAGGATCCTTTAAAAACAACACTGGATTACATTCTAGCATGTTAGGTTTTTGTGGGTAGACAAAACACAGAGTTCTAAATCTGGAATTTCTTTTCAAACATTTCTGAAGGGGGCAGTCAAAACAGCAAGCTAAGGAGAATTGTTGATTCTCTCATTGCCCTTGAAGTTTTAGTTAGTGGCCTCTCCCCCCCCCCCCCCCCCCCCCCGGGCCATAAACTCTTGAGTCTTTTGCAACACTGAGGTTTTCAGAAGAGGGATACAACCACTGGGGAAGCTTTATCTGTTGAATTTCTACTTATCATGCACCCACTGTGGTGTAGTGGTAAGAGTGTTAGCTTAAGACCTGGAAAACCTCAAGGTATAATTTCCCACTTTGCTACAAATCTCATTGGGTGACCTTGGTCAGTCATTCTAGCTAAGCCTAAACTATCCTCCCAGGCTGTTATGAATATAAAATGGAGAAGGGTGAATGATGTCGCCATCTTGAGCTACTAGAGGAAGTGTAGGTAAAAATGTACTGGATAGATATACCCACTCAAGATAACAGCCCTGCCAAGAAAAAGCTGATAATTCTAGTTGAGACCGTATTGTATTATAGACATTGTACACCCAAATATCCCTACCAGCCTCCACACAAGATAATCAAAATAGCCTAGAATAAAGCATAGTGCTAGCTTCCAGGTCAAGAAGGAGGACAATTAACCCTCCCTCCACCCAAAAAGGAAGGGAAATAGATCTCCCATGAGATGTGCAGTAGAGCCTATAGCCAAGGCTCATCTAAATGCAAGTATATGAAAATATATGGTTGCCCCAGTCCCCAGGTCCTGGAGAGGGTTCCCCCAGTTTTCAGGGCTTCTGTCCACCGCCAGCCAGCTGGCCAGCAGGGGAAACCCTGCTCCCAAACAGCCACATCCCCTTGTGACATCCACAACATGATGACGTCACCTGGAAGTGATGTTGGTGACATCATGGGGGATGCTCTGGTTTGAGGGCAAAACTCTATGGTAAATTTGCCTTTAAACCAGAGCATCACTGCGTGATGTCGCCAGTGCAATGATGTAACTTCTGGGTGGCATCATTGCATCGAGAATGTCACGCAACATCCCTCCTCCAGGAACACCCCTTCCAAATCCCACCGCTGGTGACAAGGTAGGACCTGGCAACCCTATGAAGATAGGAGCTTGTTTTAGCAGAAACCTTCACATCTTAGTACAGCCTAAAGTAACAGAAGCCTTCCTAAAATGCAGTGAATACAGAACTTAAGAGGAGTAGATAGGCATGTGTGTTCATCATAGGGTTGCCAACTTCAGGTTGGAAAATCCCTGGAGATTTGAGGGTAGAGTTTAGGGAGGATGGGGAGGGGCCTCAGCAGGATATAATGCCATAGAGTTCATCCTCCAAAACAGCCATTTTCTGCAAGGGAATTATCTCTGTCATCTGGAGATCAGCTATAATTCTGGGGATTTCCTGGCCCAGCCTGGAGGTTAGCAACCCAAGTTCATCAGAATAGGCAACTAGGCAAGGCCCTAAAATTGCAATAATAAGGTGTGCTCACACAAGGAAACATTCATAGAGCCACAGCAAGTGCTCAGGCCAAATCCAGATTAACGGCTGGCACCAAAATTTGTTTTCCAGCCCCTAACCTGATGCTGGTGTAAACAATGTGGAAAAAGGCAGTTCTGAATTGCTTTGTATCGGGGTTCTGAATTGATTGAAGGCCATCAAATGATTGACTTGTAATTGCATTCTAACCTTTCAGAACTTGTCAATGCAGGCATGGCTTTGGTCTAGGACAGAAAGGGGATCCTGTCAAAGCAAATGAGATTTCAGGTTCTGGGGGTCAGAGTTAGCGGATGGTGTGTGTGTGTACACAGGCATGAAAGAGAAAGAGGGGGGGAGGGAGGGAGGGAGGGGGAGAGAGATCCTGCCCCGACTCCCAGCAAGCTGTCTGCCACATTACTGCCATCATGAGAACATGTGAGAGGCACCCAACAGGACACCACCCAGAGGACTGGCTGAAGAGAACCCTCAAGGGATCGGTCGCCCCGTTCTTCCTCCCCAGGCTCTTCGTGGAGCCCTGCTGGGGTGAAGCCTGCATAGCATCATGCCACAGTTCAGACATATCACTGTCAAGACAAATGAGATCAGCATTACAGCAACAGGAACAGAAGAACCGTAAAAATAACCATAGAAATTTCTCTTCTCTCTGATTACAAAGATACAAAAATGTATAAAAACCCTTCCCTGCCCCTCCCCATTGCAGCCACCCCACCCTTTCACGTTTGCACAGAGTACAGAAATGTTTTGGAAAGGAAGGTCTCCGTTGGTCTGCTTCCAGTATGTAACGGACGGTGTTAGCTCATGGTGTGGTTGCTTCCTCCTCTTCCATTCAGGGTGTCCCTCTGAGCAGGGAGGGTGACCAGTATGGCACAGAGGTACCCGAGACACCTTTCTTCCATAGCCAGGGGTCTGTGCATTTTGCCTGGCTCTCACCCCACGAGTTCTCCACCACTGAGTGCTGGGGGAGGTCGTGGTTGATTCGGGCTTCCGAATCAGCCGCAGTTCTTTCCTTGACGGTGCCTGAAGGATCCCAAACCTCTGCTGGAAGAGTCTGGCCTGGCAGTCATTCCTTCTTCTTCCTTTGCACTCTCAGGAGACAGCCCCTCAGGAATGACCTTCACTTCTTGTTACTCTTCTCAAGAGAGAAATAAAAATAATAGTTAAGAAACTCCCTGTCAGCCTTTCCATTTCCCAGAATCTTTAAAACATAAACTCTGCATGCAGGCTCAGTTGTATATTAGCCAGTTTATGGAAATGTGTCTAAACTTCATGTCATTCTGATTACTGTTTTGGGGTATATGCCCCCACCATCCATATTATTGGTTATTAATTTTTTTTTTGTTTAATGTTAGAGGAACTGTACAGAAATAACTGGGATTGAATGAGAGACTGCAGTCCTATCTTCACTTATTTTGGAATGTGCACTTCCTATTGAAATTCGTGGAACTTCTTGGGAAACATGCATATTATTGGGCTTCAAGAACCATGAAAACAAGCATTGAAGGGATGAAACAGATGCCCATTCCCGAGTATTCCAAAGGCGTTGCTCTCGCATTTCCAGATGCTTTGAGGGTTAGGGACTTTTCAGAGATAGGACTCTCAGGAGGCCAGTTCTGTACCCTGAGATACCACACACACAGAATACAAACTGCCAAGGCAACAGATTTGTGTCTTGACAGCGGGAGAAAAATTAAACGTTATTAAGGGATGATTAAGTGACTTAGACAAGGTTCAATCCATAAAGCAAAATATCCCCCAAGAAAGTGATGTTTCAGGGATCGCATCTCCAAGTATGTCCCAGTTCCTTGTTTACTTTATAGGACTGCATGCTCAAAAGACGGAGCACTCACCAATGCTCCCTCTAAGCTGTGGAGTCTTGTGTGCAAAAATTCTACTTTGAGAGCTACTGGCATTAAAGTTGTGAGTGAGCGATTTGGCTACTGCATAAATTAGTTTTCTCTGGAGCCATCCTTCCTGAGCTAAGCCAAAAATGTGTGAGCTGGAGGCTAAAAAACTGTGAGCTAGCTCACACTAACTCAGCTTAGAGGGAACACTGGCATTCACCCTCTATTTCCTTCCACTCACCAGAATGTATGCTGGTGGAGCCAGTCATTTGAATCCCATACCATACGTCCTATAAGACTGATTGTATTTCCGTTACCTGATGCTGAGCTAAACCACTGTCTTGGGCATAGTCATAACACAGACTTAAACTAGTTTAACAGTCACTCTCCTTTCCCAGGGAACCTTGACAAGTAAAGGTGGGGGTGAGGAATCTGTAACAAAGAATTTCCAGCAACTCACTGACCATAACTGTCGGTATGCCTGCTGTAACTTCCACCTGAGTTTTTGGGGGAGGGGAAGCCATGACATGCGAAACAGGTATAAAAGCGATATGTGTTTGCAGGGTACCCAGGGCCTTAGACCATATTGGGTGGTGGTGAGCATAAACCAACTGCCAACCATATCCAAATGCAGAATGATCTGCGATCTCGGAGAAATCACAGCTTTCCGGAAACGTTTCTTACTTTTGTAACCACCTCCATCTCATGAATGAAAGTGTTCCTGAAACTCAACTTGTTTCTTTTTCATGAAGAGGGTCACATTTTTTAAAACACACACACACACACGTTGTATGTTGATAAAAAGTAAAACAAAATTAAGTTTAAAAACCCCCCACACACACACACAACTCGGGAGGTCACAGCCTGGATTGAGAAACAGGCAGAAAAAGCCACTTACTCTGAGTCTGGTGACAGCTCGGAAATACTGTGAGATGTGGCAGATCGAGGTGGTGAAGGGCACAGCATGGATGGTGTAGAGGACGTCTGTGCCGCAGAAGGTGTGGGTGTGGTCTGTGGGCCTGAGGGGGTACTGGATGATTGCACAGAGGACAAGACAGAGGAGTTAAAAGAAGCCAGAATAGAAGAAAGGATGTCTAATTGCTCTGTGGATGGGTGACGGCTGGGAATTGCTTCAAGATTTTCTCTAGAAGGAAGCCCTCTGGAGAGGAGTTCGAGATTTTCTCTAGAAGGCTGCTGTCTAGAAAGGCCCTCTAGGTCTTCCCGAGAAGCCTGCCTGCCAGGCACTGTGTCCAGATGCTCTCTGGAATTAGATCTTCTGGATAAGACGTCTAGCTGATCTCTTGATATTTGTCTAGCTGACGCTAGTTGGTCCCTTGAAGGCTGCCTTCTAGATAGCAAATCCAGCTGTTCTCGAGAAGTGTCTCGACTTGGCAAAGTGTCCATACGATCTCTTAATGCTTGCCTATTGGGCATGGTGTTCACCCATTCTCTAGAGATCTCTCTTACTGCCCCACCACACTCTAGCCGTTCCCGTGACCCAAACCTACAGGGCAAAGTATTGAGATGGTCTCTAGATCCCTGCCTCCTAGGCAGAGTGTTTCCATGAATTCTTTGATCATGTCCAGTAGCTACTTCACCTAGGTTTTCTCTAGACCCATGCCTACTGGGTATGCTTGCCAGGTGCTCCCTAGACCCATGCTGGCTGAGGATCGTGTCCAGATGCTCCCTTGACCCAGGCCTGTTCAGAATAGTGTCCAGTTGTTCCCGAGACCCATGCCTGCTGGCTTCCAGGCACTCGCCAGAATTATTCCGGCTCAGCTGTTCCCTGGACATCTGCCTTCTCATCAGCATGTCAAGTTGTTCCCGTGAAGAATAACGGCTTGCTGGCTGAGAGAGGCTGCCTGTGCCAGAATAAATCCTGCCATAAGAAGCCGCAGGAACAGCCCTGTGACCCAGGGTGGATGTTTTGTACCAGGAAAGCTCATTGGTCATTCTGCCCACGGATGACAGGCCTTGCAGAGCTGGAGGGTACTGGAGGCGATTCTTCAGGATGCCTATACAACATTTGGGGGGTGGAGAGCAGGAAATAAGAAGAATTAGTCACTCTCCCATTGGATTATTTGCATTTACAAATTGCATTCATTTGCATATCTGTTTGTTTGTAATTCAATGAAATAATATTGCTTCAGGGAAACCTGTAGCTGTTGCATACTGCCAAGCCATGAGGGGTAGCAATAGCAAACCTACAGCCTACTGCCATGTTAGTACCGTCATGGTTAATTTCTAAAAGGAGGTGTGTCAAAGCTCCATGTTGTGAGAATATTTTGAATAAGTTGGCTTCGAAACTTTTATATAGACAACTTTATAGAGTAATCATAGTATTTTATTTCTGTAACTTCCCAAGTAGCAAGCAGCAGTGAACCAAGCTCCCAATATGCTTTGCAAACCCTTTGTCTTAAGAGATACCTTTTCCCTGTCACATACAGAAACCAGCATTTTCATTCACCTGCATTGTTCATGAATCTAAAGAATTTGAAAACATTTAGAAATAAATGATGGGTATGCACCTGCCACTAAGCCAAGGAAGCCAGAATATTTGCAATACTAAAGGTTTGCCTACATGCAGAAACACACACACACACACCACCTCCATTCAGGAGGCAACGTCAGGCTGACTATCTTGTCCCAAGAATGCAAAGGACATCCTGAAACTAAAACATCCGTGTGTTTGTCAAACAGAAAGTGAGGTGTTATCTTGTGTTGTTTTGTGAACATTTTCTGGTAACCTCATTGCCCCTGGAATGTGGAAACATCTCCTATGCCATAATGGCCCACATTATCTAAGCAGTTATGTCAATTGATGTAATTTATTATTTCAATAGCCCTACCAAAACGTATGTGATCAATATTGTATAAAAGAAGGCAAGCAGCTCCATTTCAACACTGACTCTTGGAGATCCAGGGGAAATGTTGTCCCTCTTTGGGTCTCTTTGGGCCAGCCCAGGAGCTTCCATGCATGGGGGGGCTTATCTTTGTTCTGTATATTTAACCACTGAGTATCTCTCTTTAGAAAGTAAGTATTTTGCTTTGTATCTTATTTAAGTTGTGGACGAACGCCCAGCATCTGGCTGGCTGGTCTTCTTGTCTTTTATCCTTGATAACCTTTTAATAAAGGAAGTTTTGTTGTTTAAGTTACCTTGTGTTGCATTCCAGCGAACTGTTAACATTTATATCCTCACCTTGACATGGTTTCTCTACCCATGGATGAAGGCATTCTGCCCATGCTTAGAGACACCTTCTATTTTCCCCCCTCGTATTCCAAGACTGAGATAGGCATTGAAAGCAGTTTCTGCAGCTAAAGTGAGTGAGCCCTTTTTCAAGGGCTAGTCCTTCAGAAGTCGGGTTGCCAGCTCCAGGTTGGGAAATTCCAGGAGGTTTTGGTGGTAGAGCCTGGGGAGGGAAGGGACCTCACTGGGGTACAATGCCCTCCAAAGCAGACATTTTCTCCAGGGGTACTGATCTCTGTAGACTGGAGATTAGTTATAATCCTAGGAGATCTCTAGCCACCACCTGGAGTTTGGCAACCCTATCCAGAAGACTCATTAATGAGTCAGGTCTTCAATCTTTCCAATTAGAAGATTGCAGGCAACAGAGCTTATATTGCTCAGAGCATAGTAGATGAACTGACAACTAGAAAATAACCCATTATTTACATTCTTGTTGACTACAAACTGGGTTGTAAGTCTCTTCTTTTCTCTACAACAGGGGTGTCAAACTCATTTGTTATGAGGGCAGGATCTGACATAAATGAGACCTTGTTGGGTTGGGTCACGTGTGTTATAAAATGTAATGCCAGGTAGCGAAGATATAAACTTTATAAAGGACACAAACACAAAGGGTATTTTTACTTAAAATAAAAACATGCTTAAAACATTAGCACTCTTGCAATATTTTGTTTGTTTAACCGTGTCTGATAACTGACACCTCTTGCTCTGAATTTTTGCATCTAAATGTCTGTGCTGTTGCAATCTTGAGTATGCTGTTCAGGTGTGTATCTGTAAGCCGCAAACCTACGATGATGCAGCAGCAGCAGAACTGGAAGAAGAAGCAGAAGACAGCCAGTTCCACTGTGGGCCTGATAGAAGCCCTCCGGGGGCCTCATCTGGCCCCCGGGCCACATGTTTGACACCCCTGCTCTACAAATTTCTAGGCTCTTAGATGCTAGATAGACCTATGGTCAGTCTCAGAATAAGGCAGACTCATAGAAAGCTATTTACTGATTTAGATATTTATACCCTGCTTCCCCACCACCATGGGGACCCAAAGCTCCTTATAGCATCATTCTCCTCTCCTCCATTTTATCCTCACAAAACCCCTGTGAGGTAGGCTAGGCTAAAAGAGAGTGACTAGCTCAGTGTCATCCAGTGAGCTTCCATGATGATGTGGGGATTTGATCCCATGTCTCCCAGATCCTGGTCTAATAGTCTAACCACTTCACCATACTGTCTGTGTTGCACACACTAGCAGTCATAAATCTGATCCCACTAACTTGCTGCTTATTTACCATGTGAGAATCTGAGAGCGCAAGAAGACGTACATACCCACAATGCAACATCAACAATATCAGGCCATGACAGAGTACCCTTAGGGTGAGATTTGGCCCCAGAGTTTTAGGGTCCCTGCCTGGGGTGGAATGGCTCCCACAGGTTTTGCTGTCCACACCGCAGTTGTAATGGGTTTATTATTTTCCGCTTCCCCCACTGGAGCAGCATGCAGGAACAACCTAGTATTGCGTCTGCTCTGCAGCATCACTGCCCTGCAGTTGCTCTGCCTCACCAGTGGGAGTGCTGTGACTCCAGCCCTGGTTGGAGAGACTCAATGGCAGCAAGGCCATGATAGGTAAGGCTGAAGCCGTTTTAGAAGACTGAAGCCAGATAACCCCTTAGGCAAGCTAATTTCAGTTAAGTACAGCCAAGCTAAATTCAGTTAAGGTGCAAAACAGGATATGATGAAGTGGGTAAGGGGACACAGATGTCCCAGAACATGGCTGATTAAGCCAAAGTGGTTGTTTTTAGGAACAGAGGAGTAGCTAGTTTTGCAAAGCTCAAGAGACATCTGGACATTCTAAATAAAGGTAAAAGAAATATATGCTTGGCAAATGTACTTATATGGACATAAAGGAAATTTAAACTGTGTGACCATAAGATATCTGCGCATGTCTCAGACTTGATTATCACACTGTATAAAAAGTTATTGCTGATGCCTTACTAATGGCTTCCTTGGAGTTTTGCTACCAAGATCCTCTTTATTGTAATAAAGTGATTTCTGCTTCTGGAATCTCACTGGTTGTGTTCTTCATTGGGCATTGGCACACTAGGCAATAGGCCCCATTTGGATAACAGCCTGGTAAACCGATTCTGCCAGCTTCTAGCAACACAGGCACATGTTCCATCCATGTCTGTAGGCCCATGTCTGACTCAGGCACAGAAGCTAACGTGGGCTGCAAAAGGGACACAATAGCTCCCTGAAAGGATAAGGTTTGTTGCTTTATTTGTGTACTAAATGTATTGTGAAAGTATTTAGTTATATCAATCTATATAGGAAAGTACTTCCTTCTTCACACTGCATAATACAATAAAGCTTTATAGTGAAGGAGACTTTGCGCCTCTGGGTTTTTATAAATTTTTTGACATTTGCACAATGTCTGGCACTACTTAACCAAAAAGTGGGTACCATAAAAGCAAACTGAGGAAAGATGCAGCGAAAGATGGAGGAAAGGGAAAATTGGTTATATAGTTAAATAAGGTTGCAAATGCACAGTAATATATTTGTTCTATACAGTCACAAAGCATGGGTGATAGGAAGGGCAATCATATGAATTCCCACAGGGCCCCGAAGCCCCCCAGTAGGAGGGAGTTACCGAGTGAAATATATGGCTGAGTAGGATTTGAGTTCAGGATTCCACCCATCGGAGTCTGATAGACCTTCCACCATACCCCTTCTCCCAGTTCTGTTTTGGTCTCCTCACCTTTCCTCTGTCGTTGGGTCTGGGTGAGGGAGTTCTCATCTCCACTGGTTAAGGCCAGGTCCGGCTGGTTATTGTTGGCAGCATCTTTGTTGACATCAAATCCAAGTTTCCTCTCTGAGCCCCACTTCTGGAGGGAGCAGGGGTGAACTTCACATTCACCCAGTGCTGGCCAATAAGACATCAGGTCATTGCCATCTACATCTAAGGGAAGGAGATTGGACAATGTCAGATACAGGATGAATCAAATTCATTTAACCTACTACTGCAAGGTTTACCATGACATCTGATTACTGTCTACAAACAGTTCACCCTTTTTAATGGGTGGTGTAAAGTTACTGGCAATTCAGTACATTACTGGGCTCTGTTGGTATACTACTCTAGCACATAAAGTGTACTGTAAAGCCAATAGCAAGTGCACATTGCCTGGACCACACCTGTACTGAAGGCAGTATATTGGTTACTAGTTGACCCACCTGGCAGTTTGCAAGGAATCCCAGTACTCCTACATGAGTTGGAAAAGATCATGCACATCTGTAGAAACTAAAAACAGCCATTGACCGATTAAATTAATTTGCATGCCCAGTGATTTTTTCCCTTCTTTGCGATCAAATGGAAAATTCCCAATCAAAAGGAGCTGCCCTATTTATCTAAATTGGCAGCTTAGCAAACATATTTTTTGAAAAAAATCTCTGTTCTTAGTTTTGCAAACCATTTTTGCATGCCATTTTGTACTTGAGATGCTTCTTTTGTTTTTGTAACAGGCTTGAAGGTTTATCCACAGGGTTGTCATAGAGATGCATAGACCACTGTTTGCTCTTGCCTGTCCCAATGCAGGCACCTCCGGTAATCAGCATGTTCTTAGTCCATATTCTTATAGCCAGGGCTTTTTTTGTAGAAAAAGCCCAGCAGGAACTCATTAGCATAATAGGCCACACCCAACAGCAGAAACTCATTAACCTATTAGGCCACACCCCTGACAGCACAGCTCAATAGCATATTAGGCCACACCCCCATGTTACCAGAAGTGTGGTTATCCAGCCACACCCACATTTTGCTTCTTATTCTGTTTACTTTGTTTGTTGTCAAAACCCTTGGGCTTTTTTTGTAGCAGGAACTTCTTTGCATGTTAGGCCACACACCCCTAATGTAGCCAATCCTAATGAGTTTCTGCTGTTGGGTGTGGCCTATTATGCTAATGAGTTCCTGCTGGGCGTGGCCAACTCAGGAGCCAGCCGGAATTCCGTTCCTGTGCGTTCCTGCCCCAAAATAGCCCTGCTTATAGCTGCTCTACTAGTATTTACCTTTGGGTGTGGTGTTGGAAGGGTTGGTGAGAAGCCTCTCGCTGTGTGCTGCCCTTTTGAACTGGCGCTGGAACCTGCCCCGGAGATGCACGTTCTCCTCACTCTCTGACGATGGGATGGAGAGGCTGCGTTCTTCATCGAGAGAGAGGTCACTGTCTGAGTCAGAATCTTGATCTGTGCAAGATAAGCAAAGTTCTAAAGAGGTGAGGAATCGGGGAGAAACTCTTACATTTAGGGATTTGATCGCTCATAGCTCCCAGTATATAATTTCCCTCACATGAACAACCTGTGAGGTAAAAAAAAAACACCTCACAAAACAGAAACAATGGATTAGTTTATACGATCACCTGTTTAAAATATTGAAAGCAGACATCCCTAAACAGGTCACCCATCACAGATGGTTCCAGCCAACCAGCCTAATCCCATCATTTTCTCAGAAAGCCCAGCCGTGTTATTTGGTTTAGGAAGACACTGCTGTATAATGCTGGGTACCACCTCCATTTCTGGAAGAATCTGAGTGTGCTCAGTTGTCAGAATGCTTGTGTTGCACGATTGGCAAGCACTTGGTAACATATAAACATGCAGCAAGATACCCAACAGAATCTAGAAGGCTACTATTTTTTTGAATCTGCAACTTGGCTTTTGACCTTACCTGGCCCTGCATCTCGGTGAAACATAGCTACATCAAGGTCTGTGGGGCCGGCATGATTGAGCAAGTTATGATCCAGGGCTGAGCCTTGATGTGCCATCATGTTCTCTCTGCAACAACAGAGAAATATCAAGTGTGCATCCTTTTCACTGAGAAAGAGACCATATACCAGTGGTGAAGCACACGCTCCCAGCCTTAGTCTCTTGTGTTTTCTGTTGCAGTATCTGAACACCAGAGCTGGAATCTACCCAAGACCCGAGAGAGCTGCTGCCAGTTAGTTAGACAGTGTTAAGTTGAATGGATTGTTGTCTCCCTCAATAGGACATTGCTTGTAGAATCTGTGATGCATATTACTTTTGTATTAAGAAGAAGAGAAGAGAAGAAGAGATTGGATTTATACCCCGCCCTTCACTACCCAAAGGTGTCTCAGAGCGGCTTACAAACTCCTTTCCCTTCCCAATTTCAGTTATAAAAATGAATGTCCTACCACGTTTGATGTTCCTGTTCCAAACAATACCAATACTTAGTAAGACAGATTTGCTGCAAAGGTGGCAACAAGAACTATCAAAGTTTGTTTGGGCAGGCAAGAAACCGAGAATTAAGATGAAAATACTTTGTGATGCCAAGGACAGAGGTGGACTACAGCTACCAAATCTCAGATTATATTATGAAGCGGTTTGTATGACCTGGTTGAAGCAATGGGTGAAATTAGAAAATGATAAGCTATTGGGGTTAGAAGGTCATGATTGTAGATTTGGTTGGCATGCATATTTATGGTATGACAAAACAAAAATGGATAGCTTTTTTAAGCATCATGTGGTAAGAAAAGCATTATTTGTGGTATGGATGAGATATAAAAAATATTTTGGTGATGTAAGGCCACTTTGGATTGTACCAGTGGAAGTGTTAACATCTTACTCAAGACGTAGAGACAAAGATTGGTTGCTGTATAAAGACATAATAAAAAAAGAGGGAACAGAATGGGTAATGAAAAAGCAGAATGAAATTGAATATGAATATGAATGGTTGAAATACATGCAGATCTCTGACCTTTTTAGGTCAGACAAAAGAAATTATGGTTTTAGAGAGGAAAAAAATGAAATGGAAAAGGTATGGGAGAGTGGAGGGGGAAAAGATATCTCTAAAATGTATAAAGTGTTGTTAAAATGGTATACAGAAGATGAGACTGTGAAAGAGCAAATGTTAAAATGGGCAATAAATATGAACAAGGAAATTGACATAGAAACCTGGGAATATTTGTGGAAAAATGCTATTAAGATATCACCCTGTACCAATGTTAGAGAGAATTGTTATAAAATGATGTATAGGTGGTATATGACCCCAAAGAAAATTGCAAATATGAACCAGAATATGTCAAATAAATGTTGGAAATGTAAAAAACATGAGGGCTCATTTTACCATATGTGGTGGACTTGTGAAAAAGCCACACTCTTTTGGACAAAAGTCCACAGAGAAATGCAAAAAATACTTAAGTGCTCTTTCAAGAAAGCGCCTGAAATTCTGCTTTTGGGACTAAAAATGGAAGAAGTTAACTCGACTAAAAGGACTTTATTCTGGTACCTTATTACAACAGCGAGGATGATTTATGCACAATTTTGGAAGACTGAGAAAGTACCAGAAATCGAAGACTGGATACAAAAAGTTCTGTTCATGGCAGAAATGGATAAAATTACAAAGAAGTTGAATAATCAAGAAGACAACGTGTTTTTTCAAGAATGGAATGACTTTAAAATATATCTGGAAAAGAACTGGGATGTAAAACAAAACTTAATATGTTTAGATCAATATTAAGTCAAATGATGTTATCTTGAGGTTGTATGATAACAAATGATGTGTTAATGATATAAAGAAATTTGTAAGAAGGGAGTGAAGCATTGCGGGAAGCCATTGGAGGGAGGAGAGGAAGGGAATGGGGTAAACAATGGACTGAATGATTTAATTTTATATGTTATGTTCCTAAGAAAATAATAAAAATTTGTTTACCAAAAAAAAAAACAAACTCCTTTCCCTTCCCCTCCCCACAACAGACACCCTGTGAGGTAGGCGGGGCTGAGAGAGCTCTGGACAGAAACTGCTGTTTCTCAAGAACAGCTCTGACAGAACTATGGCTTGCCCAAGGTCATCTAGCAGCTGCAAGTGGAGGAGTGGGGAATCAAACCTGCTTCTCCCAGATTAGAGTCTTAGCGACTATACCAAACATAATCAACATCAGTCATACATACAGAGAAATCAATGGTACAGGAATAGAACGCAAAGTAAGTTTACGTGGTGGCCTGGTCCATAGACTCCTACTATGGTAGAGTTACCATTATCTATAGCCTTGGTCTGTTGTTCTGGTATGGTCTGTCCAGTGCATCATATCATAGAGAGTGATATGATGTCCCATAAGGGGACATGCAGGACACTCTTGTGTGTCTACGGGATCAGATTGGTAGGGTTCTGTGGTCTCTTCCAAAATAAATTACTAAAAGAAGTGTAGGTTTTTATATCCCCATTTTTCTCTACCCTAAGGAGTCTCAAAGTGACTTACAATCACCTTTCCTTCCTCTCCCAACAACAGGCACCTTGTGAGGTAGGTGAGGCTGAGAGAGTTCTGAGAGAACTGTGACTGGCCCAAGGTCACTCAACAGGCTTCCTGTAGTGGAGTGGGAATCCCCAGTTCTACAGTTTATAGTCCGCTGCTCTTAACCACTACACCGTGCTGTCTTTTTGTAAGAGAAGCCTCTAATCCACCCACTCCAGTGGCTGTAATCAAGATCATGAGGTCCCAGTGGAACTGTGGATGAGTACCCAGGAGAAACAAAACAGAGGGAACTGCGATGGGTAATAATGGAGGAAATATCAGCAACGACAATCAATGAGCTCCATGCTCACAAGCTGAAGAACCACAGTTAATACCAGGGGGCTCTTGGGTCTCCAGAAGAAGGAATATCCTTCTTTCCCCTACTTTTCCCTAG